TAAGTGTGTGGGGTAGCACAAAAATGTCCAAAGTCCAGAAACGTGGTTGTGTTATAGGTAATGGATTTTGACAAGAGCTATGACCTTGTAAATAACAGATAAACTTGTGCACTGCATCGGCATGACTCATAGCTCTTGTTTAAATCCATTACATCTAACCCCGTGGATAGTTTTGCTACGTATGTGGTCAGTTTACTCCTAAATCGCAGAAAAGGACAATTAATAAGATGACAAAAGTTGCGTTGAAAAAGATTGATATCAAAAAATTAGAGGCATTTGAACTGTGGATGTATCGCAGAATTCTGAGAATATCATGGACCGAGAGGGTCACAAATGTCGAGGTCTTGAGAAGAATGAATAAAGAAAAGGAAGTCATATTTACGGTCAAAAAACGAAAACTGCAATACTTGGGACACATTACAAGAGGCGAGAGATATGAACTGTTTCGAATAATTATCCAAGGGAAAATAGCAGGAAAAAGGTCCATAGGAAGAAGACGAAACTCCTGGCTCAAGAATCTACGGGAATAGTATAGCTGTAGCAACAACGAATTGTTTCGGTCAGCAGTTTCGAAAATACGTATAGCCCTGATGATCGCCAACCTTCGGAACGAAGATGGCACTTGAAGAAAAAGAAAAGTAGCTTACCATAATTATTTTGGATGTGTTATTGGCGATCAAGATCGGGACTGGGCTCCTCACATATGCTGCCAAACCTCTGCAGCAAATTCAAGTAATTGGTTAAATAGTAAACGCTTTTATATGCCGTTTGCAGTTCCGATGATTTGACGTAAACCAACAAATTATTTTAACGACTCTTACTTCTGCATGGTAAAATTGTCTGGGTTTTTAAGAAAGAACAAGCATAAAATTGAATATCCAGATATTCCCTTAGTAATAAAACCAGTTGTTCATGGAGAAGATTTACCAGATCCTGGACCATCGGCAAATTGGGAGGAATATTTGGAAATGTATGACGATAAAAGTGAACCCGATGATATATCAGAAACGGACGGTTCTTATTTTCCTTAAAGTGATGATAAAGCACCCCATGTCATCATCCAACAAACTAAAATAAATGAGTTAGTTCGAGACCTTTACTTGTCCAAAAAACATGCTGAACTTTTAGGTATTCGATTATAACAATGGAATTTACTAGCCAGTGGAACCAAAGTTACAATATTTAGGAACCGTAACCAGGAGCTATCCTCGTTTTTTACTATGCAGTTTTCTGTTTTCTTTGTCTTTGCGACAGTAGAGCAACACAGACCCATTACCAAGTTAAAGAATGGTCGTCAAGAGATCAGTACATTCCAGGTCAAGCTAACGTAAAGATTATACCTCTCTTTGATTCCAAAAACGTTATGTTACCTCCGTTATATATTAAAAATTTCGTTTAAGCATTAGATAAAGACAGAGATGCGTTTAAATACCTTAAACTAATTTTTCCTAAGCTAAGTGACGCGAAGCTTAAAGAAAAGATATTTATTGGACCAGAAATTAGAAAAATACTGAAAGATCAACAGTTTGATGAAAAATTAAGTGATGTTGAGTTAGCTGCGTGGATTTCTTTCAAAAGAATTGTTTTCGAGTTTTTGGGAAACAAAAAAGCAGAAAATTAACAAAATGTTGTAGAAGAACTACTTAAAAATTACTGCAAAATGGGCTGTCGCATGTCTCTAAAAATACACTTTCTGCACGCTCGTTTAAATTTTTTCTCGGAAAATTTGGGTCCGGTCAGCGACGAGCAAGAAGAATGATTCCACCAGGCTATTCTCACAATGGAGCAACGTTACCAGGGAAGATGGAGTGCAGCAATGATGGGAGATTCCTGTTGGTTCCTCATGAAAGAAAGTGATTTAGAGTATAAAATGAAATCAGTGTTTGTAAAGAATTTGTGTACAAACGACTTGCCATAGTTTTTGTTTCTAGTTGTGGACTTATTTATATATAGTATATAAAAATTTTTGTAATAAATAACAATATTTGATGCATTCTATAACTCAAAATAAATACGTGGTGAGAAATTTTGGTGTTTGAATTCGCAATCAGGATGCTTTAAACTCCCCGGTATAGCTAGTTTAACATCAGTCGCAACTTTTTTTTTTAATTTGTTTACTAGTGTAATTAATTAGTAAGTAGTAATTTGTAAAAAATTACCTGAAAACTAATTTATAAAATATATAAGTTTATTACATCATTGATATAAAATGAAAAAAATATATGTTGATTTTCCGGAATTTTACAAGATTTCTGGGAGTGAAAATTATCTCATCATTATTAATACTGCAACAGACTATTCCAGTCGAATTAAAAAAAAGTAAGTTTTTACGGTGAATTTCAACTGGACTCATTTTTTCCGAGGTTTCCCATATTTCTCGGCTAGTGAAAACTATGTAGTTATTCATATTTCGACGAGTTGGAAGCCTAGATAATGTAAATTTTTCCGACATGTTTCAATTTGAAGTTCCGATCTCAAAAAGAAAACGGAGCTGAAACAGATATTCCCTCCACGTTTCTATGTTGATCTTTCAAAAGTACCTTCGTTTCGAAGTGCTGTAAGTTTCGAAAAATTGGATGAATTTTATAGCTATAGATTTCAATATAAAGTTTAGATTTTCCTTCAAAATTTGTGCAAATTTTTCTTCTGAATGTTTATAAACAATGGAGATATCATTTTTTTTTAATATTCTTTAACTTCGTTCCTATTGGTCATAGAAGGTTTTTTTTAATGTGAGTTTTTTACCAGCTATTTAATGGTTGTACTTTCAAGTCTGTAGCTTAAAAAATGTAGAAGTTATTAAAATTATAGTTTATTCGTCTTCCGGGTTTAGACCGTGTCATTTGTAAGTGACCCAAAAGTGGGTTCATCTCGACGTTTCGCTACAATTGTATGTAGCTTCTTCAGGAGAACAAAGAAAAAGAAATCAGAAGACAGGAAGATGGGTAGTTAGCAACGGTAACTCAGTTACTCAACGCAACCAGAGGCGAATACTAACTACCAAGATGGGCATTTGGTCACAGTAACTCAACTACTTAACGCAGCCAGAGGTGAAAACTAAATGCCAGGACAGGGATTCACGTCCAACAGCTCAGAACACTAACGCGTTGAGAGGCGGGGAGTGAATCCATTCACTCTGGCTGCGTTAAGTAGTTGAGTTACTGTGACCAAATGCCCATCTTGGTAGTTAGTATTCGCCTCTGGTTGCGTTGAGTAACTGAGTTACCGTTGCTAACTACCCATCTTCCTGTCTTTTGATTTCTTTTTCTTTGTTCTCCTGAAGAAGCTACATACAATTGTAGCGAAACGTCGAGATGAACCCACTTTTGGGTCACTCACAAATGACACGGTCCAAACCCGGAAGACGAATAAACTATAATTCTGACTCTGGCCGTGGAAGCCTACGATTTCATTTAAGTTATTAAAATTGTTTATAAGTATAAAACATACCTACCCCTTTTTCCAACGTATACTTTGTAAATAATTTCGATGAAAAAGCAATATTCATTTAACTTCTGAGATAGTTTAAGTCCTAAAGAATCCTATGAAATTTGCTAAATGTGTCTATGTCTAGCATCATTAATAGAGCAATTTCAATAGTTTAAATATTTAGCCTCAGCGATAAATAAATTAAATTACTCTTAACAACTATTTTACCGATCGGGGGGGGGGGCTTTTGCACAATCGCTGCTTATTTACAAATATCTCCGTGAATTATTTATTAATTTTAACTTAAAAAACTGGAAAACAAATGTAAAATGTAAGGGAAAAAACTTATAGGCAAAAAATAAAATTGTGACCATAAATCATTGTTTAAAAAAATCGCAAGGTAAAAATACTGCGAAAAATTTTACCATGAAATCGATAATTTTTGCATAACCAGACTGGGTTACTAAAACACAAAGACGTTATTTGAAGGAATTTTAGGATTCCTAGTGTTGCTATTAGTTCGGGTATAGACGTATTTAACCAGTTACTCAGTTTTGAAGCCAAGATATTCTTCTTCTCCCTGATCCCCTATTTCCAAATACTTTTTCCTTATAACTTGGCCAAGTATGACCTTAATATTAATCATATGATCGATCCACTTATAAAGTTCTTAAGATACTTCTGTAACACTACATCTCGAAGGCCTCGAAATTGCCTAAAGAAACTTTAGAAAGTGTTCAAACCTGGGCTCCGTATAATAATATAGAATACAAATAGCATCTGATGATAGAAATATCGGTACCAAGTGGTAAATCATAACTTCTAAAGACTTCATTTTTATGAACGCTGATCTTGCTTTCCCTAGGCGTTGTAGGCTTTCCCCCTTGTTCAGTAGAGTCGTTCCATTGACCAATTATGTTGTTAGCAAGATATATGTAGCTGTTTACTCTGTCCATTAGCTGTTCGTTAACCAAAAGCCGTGTATACAAACATATATTTTGTTTTATTCGTATTGACATCCAGTCCATATTCTCTACTTATATCCTATCTGCGCTACATTATTACTGGTAAACCATCCAAGCTATCTGCGGAACCACTGCGTCGTCGGTGTATCTAATATTATTTTAACGCAATCCGTTGATTAATACCCTTCTTGTAGTTCCCCTAGTGCTTGCTCAAAGATATGTTTAGAGTACAGGTTAAATACCACCCGAGATAGAATGCATCCTTGTCTCACATATCTGTATATGGAGATTGCCTCTGTCAACTAATACATATTAGATCCCACTTGGAGATATAGTATTTATCTTTATATTTATCATGGGAATACCACCCAAAAGAACCACCACCTACTTGGAGATATAGTATTTAATATGGTAACGTATCGTGGGAATACTACCCAAAAGAAAGTGGTCAATAAATATAATGATTGAAAAAGAGTAAAAAATCACTGAAAAAATAAGATTATGTGAAACGAAAAACAGAGAAATAAATGTAGCACTGTTTTTAAATCAATAAAGTTATATATTATAACATCTAATTGTATTAAATAAATATCTACTCACTTTCAGGCAACTTGGTTCAAAGACGGAGAACCAATTTCTCCTGACGACGAAAACGTTAAAACAAGTGTTCTTCCTGATGGAACAATTAAACTAAGAATCGAAAAATGTAAACCATCCGACAGTGGAGCTTACAAGTTAGTCGTGAAGAATCCAAATGGCGAATCAGCATGTCTCTGTGCAGTAGCCGTTACACGTAAGTAAATATATTAACTTTTATACCAATGAAACACATGTTTTAGACAGTAGTTTTTGTGCTTATTTTTTAGACCATTCCCACTTTAATATGACTTTAATCATTTCTTCTTCTTTTTGTGCCGTCTTATCATTTTCTGGAAATTATTTTGGCAATCCACCCATCGATCCAGCTACCCTGAAAAAGTCGACAGAATTACATCTAAACCAGGATCCCAATTTTCATTCATTTAGGAATTATATCTCTTTGATCAACTTCCTCCCACTAATATTATTTATAACTACTTTAAGTAACTTATAAGGTTTATCTCTCATGATATATCCTAGTTTTTGTAACTTTCTGAACTTAATGGTGTTTAAATTTTCCTTAACCTTTCTCATTCTTCTTCTTCTTCTTTCGTCAACACTTCAACATTCGTTATATCCAGCTTATTTTTAGTATTGTTTTAAGCCTCTAATTTCATAGTTCGGAAGTCTCGAATATATTTATAGTATCCCTCTTTAATACTTTTTTTAACATAGCATCTAAGCAGCCTTATTTTTAAAGCCATTGTAATGACTCTTCCTTTAATAAATACTGAATAATATTTTTATTATGTTGAATGTATTTCTAGCTTGTCCTATTTTTGAGATATTTCTACTTTCGAATTTTCTTTATTTTTTGTTCTGCATGTATCATTAAGTTTTTGTGGTTGTCACTGGGTCTTTGTGAGTATATCTAGTTATTGTTATATAGCTTATAGTTTAAAGGCTAGATGTTTCACAAATGCTCAATATTAATTAAGTGTATTAATACTGAAGAAAATATAATTAGTTTATGTGATAATTTTATTTAAATATTTAAACTGTAACAGTGCTGTCGTACGGTATTTCGCGGACAGTGATCGCTGGTTTAGATATAAAAACTTTGTGCTAAAACTTTGGCTAAACCTTAACTTAGTTGTAGTAACAAAGTTAATCATTAAATTACGTATTGTTTAATGCTTGTGTTCTTATTTCTCACGTTATTGGGTGGTCCTTCAAATTGGAATTAATTACATTACTTAGTACGCTCTAAATTATTTATTTCTTTCTACCACAGCTGTTAGGACATTGTCATCTGAAAATCATATCTTGTTGTTGGTACACTCTTGATATAAAGGTATGTAAAGTGTAGATTCAATATGTCAATTCATTATTTATTTACAAGCTGTATCAACGTGTCACAGTATTTTTACAATGGAAAAAATCAAGTATCGTACAGTGATTGATTTTTTTATTTTTGGAAGGTTTGAAAGCAAACGAAATTTATGAACGAATGTTAAAAGTGTATAAGGACTCTTCGGCTACAATTAATATAGTAGAATGCTGAATTTAAACGTGGTCGTACAAGCTACATATACTATATAATAGCTACAATACCGAAAAAATAGAATATATCATAAAAGAAACTCGTCAAGTGGCAGAAAAAGATTCAGTAAAAGCCCTGGACATCTCATTGGTTAGTATAAGCAATATTTTGATTTTAGTATTGGGTTTCAAAACCACACAATCTACTACTCCGGAAATGTCACTAAGACACACAGAAATGGAGTAGGCGTAATCGTGTCCCCATCTATAAAAAAGCATACACTCCCGTCTCACACAGAATGTCACTCCTTCAGCTGAAAGCATATCCACTCGATCTAAATAATATACAAGTATACGCGCCAACAGCAGACAAAGATGGCGAGATTGTGGAAGAATTTTACCAACAACTGGACCCTGATGAGAATGACCAAGAAAAGCGAAGTGACATTAATAATGGGCGACTTCAATGCAAAGGTCGGCAGAGGTAAGGGGTCAAACGTTGTGGGCGGACACGGATTAGGAACTAGAAACGAGAGAGGGGAACGTCTCATACGCTTCTGTCAGGAACAAAAACTATTGATAACTAATACTTTTTTAACTGCCCCCTCGCAGACTTTACACCTGGAAGTCGCCAGCAGACTCGAAAGAAACAAATGTAAGAAACCAGGTCGACTTCATTGCCATACCAGAAAGATTCGGAAACTCAATCACATCAGTGAAAACCTATCCCGGGGCTGACGCTCAATCGGATCACAACCCAGTGGTGGGTAAACTAGGAATCAAACTAAAACGTATAGAAGGGAAGCCTAACAAAATCAAGATAAACATTAGGAAATTAAAGGATCCCAACATTAAACAACAAGTACAGGAATCCTTAAGAAGAAACATTGAAAACTTCAGTGAACCCGCAGAAGACGCAGTTGCTTAATGGGAAGAAATAAAAAGAGCTGTTGAAATGACAAACAAGACACTTCTGTTACAGGAGCGCGTAAAGAAGAAAGAATGGATGATGGATGAAATCCTTGATATGATGGAAGAAAGAAGACAACACAAATGCAAAAATCAAGTGAAATATCAAGAAACAAGTCACAATATAAAAACAAAGATAAAGGAAGTGATCGAACGCTGGCTGAAGGAGAAATGCGATGAAATCGAAGAGTGCGACAGAAGATATGACTACCACAACATGCACAAAAAGATCAAAGAATTAACAACTAAAAAGAAAACCAATAATCCCCACCCGACACTAATAGACGCAGACGGTAACCTTATATCAGACGACTTGAAGCTCATTGACACATGGAAAGATTACGTAGAACGACTTTTTAAAGATAAACGCAGAGCGATAGTGGACCAAGATGACGTCTTGACTGGACCCGAAATACCAAGGTCTGAAGTGGAAAAATCCATTTCATCGCTAAAAAACGACAAAACACCTGGTCCCGATAACATACAGGGCGAGATCATAAAACTCCTATGCGAAACGGATGACCACTTCCTCGATTTTCTGACAGGCCTTTTTAACACCTTTTACGACAAAGGGGAGATTCCGGAGGAATGGCTTCGATCGACCTTTGTAGCCATACCTAAAACACCAAGTGCAAAACACTGTGATCAACACCGCTTAATAAGCTTGATAAATCACATTACCAAAGTTTTCACCAAAATCATACACAATAGAATATATAACAAATGCGAAGCAAAGATATCGGAGTCACAGTTCGGATTCCGAAGCGCATTGAGCACAAGAGAGGCGATCTCAATCTACAAGTTTTAATTCAAAGATGCAGAGACATGCACAAGGACGTCCACTTGTGCTTCATCGACTTCTCCAAGGCGTTTGACTCGGTCAAACATGATAAACTCATGGAAATGCTCAGGAAGATGCATATTGATATCAAGGATCTGCGCATAATAACCAGTCTCTATTGGAACCAAAGTGGTGAGATAAAGATGAGCAACTTACACAGTGGGAAGATAGATATTAAAAAGGGTGTACGACAGGGATGCGTCCTCTCGCCGCTCCTGTTCAACAGTATGAAAAAGTGGTTCACAAGCTAAATCTCAATGGAACTAAAATTAAGACTGGTCAAGTGTTATGTCTTCCCGGTCTTGTTCTATGGAGCAGAGGCATGGACCACAACGGAAGCCACTCTGAAGAAACTAGAATCCTTTGAGCTGTGGATATACCGCCGTATTCTTCGGATATCCTGGACAGACCACATCACTAACGTGGAAGTAATGCAGAGAATAGGCAAAACCAAAGAAATAATCTTCACCGTAAAGAAACGGAAGCTTGAGTATATCGGACATGTCATGAGGCATACTAAGTACCGGCTGCTACAGTTAATAGTCCAAGGAAGAATCGACAGTAGAAGGGGACCGGGAAGAAGACGACACTCATGGATGCATAACCTGCGACAATGGTTCGGACTAACATCGACCGAACTGTTCAGAGGTGCCGTAAATAACGTCAAAATAGCCTTGTTAATAGCCAACGTCCGAAACGGATAGGGCAAAGGAAGAAGAAGAAGAAGATTGGGTTTCAGAAATCTGTATTTACAATGGATGTGGCATTCGTTAACAATGGACCAACAATACATTCGAATGCGACTCTTTCAGTAAAATTTAGAGCGTTTTCGAAAGGATAAAGTGGATTTTGTGCATCGATTCATTATTCTGAATGAGACTTGGATTTATCACTATAATTCTAAATCAAAACAAGAGGCTAAAGAGGGGTGTGAATCTCGTTCTTCGGCTACGACACGAGTTCTGGTTCAGAAATCGGTAAAGAAGGTCTTAACATCAGTTTTTTACCAATTACGTTTACCAAAAACGTTGTAAAACAATTAATTTTATATATTATTGTATTCTTTTAATACAGCTGAAGTAAAACATTCGTGAAAAAAGACCCGGTTTGCAGAAAAAAAACCCTTTATCATTAGAGCAATGCACCATGTCATATGAGGATTTGGACAATAACTTAAATCCATGAATTGAAGTTTGAATTGTTGGAGCATCCACTGCACTTACCAGATTTGGCTACTAGTAACTTTCAACGGTTAATACCTAAAAAATGCATTCAAAAAATTATGCAACATATTTTACAGCCCTTATATTTAGTCTTATGTACATATTTTTAACCCCCATTTCTTATATTCCTCAAACAGTTTCCTTAGCATATATCTTGAGTGGTTAGTATCTAAAATTCCACGAGGAAACTAAGTTCCTGTAGCTGGCTGTATACCATATATCACAAAAAATTTTGTTAAAATCCTTTATAAAAGGTATATAAAAATGCCTCAAACGAGCTATCACAAACACATTGCAAAACGTTTTCGGATTAAACAATCCATCATCAGTGCAAACGGGCTTGTTGATAACGACCTTGTAGACACTTCGTCTCAGGACCATTTTACTCATGTAGAGTCATACGCCGCCATGTACAACCGTTTGCACTGATGATGGATTGCTTAATCCGAAAACGTTTTGCAATGTGTTTGTGATAGCCCGTTTGAGGCATTTTTATATACCTTTTATAAAGGATTTTAACAAAATTTTTTGGTTAGTATCTATTGTGTCATTGTCCAAAATGGACACTTTCCGTCGCCATAGTTTTAATGCTTCTTTAAATCGAGGTAAATTTTAAATAATATCGGCGCTAAGGACCAT